GAGTGACCAGGGGTGACCAGAGGGCACTCAGTGTGACCAGGGGGGGCATTTGGGGTGACTGGGGGTCATTCAGAGTGACCAGGGGGCACTCGGAGTGACCAGGGGAGGGCATTTGGAGTGACCAGGGGTGACCAGGGGGCACTTGGAGTGACCGGGAGTGACCAGGGGACACTCAGTATGACCAGGGGGCACTCAGAGTGACCGGGGGGAGGGCATTTGGAGTGACCAGGGGTGACCAGGTGGGTGGGCACTCAGTGTGACCGGGCGGGTGGTCACTCAATGTGTCCAGATGTGCCCAGGCAGGCGGTCACTCAGTGCATCCAAGCGGTCACTCAAGTGTCCCCCCCTCCCCCGCAGGCCAAGAAGGACCCCGCTGTCCCCAAAGGCCCTTTGCCGGCGCGGCCGGACAAGAAGAAGCCCCCGGCGGAGAGCGGCCGGCAGTGTCCGGCCAGCAGCCCGCAGGTGACCGCTCTGGTGGCCCGGCTGCCGCTGCTGCTGCCCCGCCTGGCGCCCCCCGAGCGTCCCCCGGCCCCGGGCGCGGCCCCGCTGCGCTCGTCCCCTCCGCTGCTTGTCCCCAAACTGCCCGCGGGTGGCACGGTCAAGGTGGCGCTGCCGCTGCCCGTGGGCACCGCGCTGGCTCCGGCCGGCTCCGGCCACCCCGGGCTGCTGACCAGCCCCGCGGCCATCCCGGTGCTCAACGTGCTGCTGCCCGGAGTGGGGGTGACCGCGGCCGAGAGCCCCCGCGACGGGGCCACCGCCGAGGGACAGGGACAGGGGGTGGCACAGGGACAGGGAGTGGCACAGGGACAAGGACAGGGACAGGGACAAGGACAGGGACAGCGTGCCAGGGCCACCAAGCGGCCGGCAGAGGGGACAGGGGACAGCGCCGCGCACAAGAGGAGGCGCGGGCGGCCCCGCAAGAGGCCGGGGGACACGGCCGGGTCACCCGAGCGTGCCGATGTCCCCAAGGGGGTGACCGAGGGTGGCGGTGTCACCGTGCCCGCAGGGGACACGGGTGGTGCGGGAGGGGCTGCTGAGGCTGCGGGTGGGGACAGGGACACGGTGGCAGCTGGCGGTGGCACGGATGGGGACGCGGTGGCAGCTGGGGACAGCACGGACATGGACAGGGACAGGGACATGGTGGCAGCTGGGGACAGCACGGACATGGACGGGGACAGGGACACGGTGGCAGCTGGGGGTGGCATGGACGAGGATGGGGACGGGGGGGATGGCATGGACATTGATGATGACATGGATGGTGGGGACAGCCCGGTCCCGGTGACAGTGCCACCGCAGCCTGGTGACAGTGACACTGCCACCAGTGGTGTCGATCCGGTCAGTGGCAGTGCCACCATCACTGGTGGGGACACCATGGCTGGTGGCAGTGCCATTGTCACTGATGGCAATAGTCCAGTCAATGGCAGTGCCACCGTCACTGGTGGGGACACCATGGCTGGTGGCAGTGCCACTGTCACTGTTGGTGACAGCCTGGGTGGGGGAAGTGGCACTGTCCCTGATGGTGGTGGCAGTGCCACTGTCACTGTTGGGGACAGCCCAGCTGGGGGTGGTGCCACTGTCACTGTTGGGGACATGCCAGCTGGGGAAAGTGGCACTGTCCCTGCTGGGGACAACCCACCTGGTGGCAGTGCCACTGTCCCCGCTACGGACAGCCTGGTCAGTGTCAGTGCCACCGTCCCAGTCAGCGCCAGTGTCACCGTCCCTGTTGGGGACAGTCTGGTCAGTGGCAGTGCCACCATTCCTGGTGGTGGCTCACCGGGTGGTGGCAGTGCCACTGTCCCTTTTGGGGACAGCCCGGTCAGCAGCAATGTCACTGTTCCTGCTGGGGTCAGCCAGTCTGGGGACAGTGCCACTGTCACTGTTGGGGACAGCCCGGTCACTGACAGTGCCACCGTCCCCCCTAAGGACAGCCTGTCTGGGGACAGTGCCACTGTCCCTGCTGGTGGCAGTGCCACTGTCCTCCCTAAGGACAGCCTGGCTGGTGGCAGTGCCACTGTCCCCAGTGGTGCCACCGTCCCTGCCAAGGAGAGCCTGGCCAGGGTCAGTGTCACTGGGGACAGCCCCGTCAGTGGCAGTGCCACCATCACCAGTGCCACCATCACCAGTGGCACCAGTGGTGGCTCTGCTGGTGGTGGCAGTGCCACTGTCCCTGTGAAGGACAAACCGATCACTCGCAGTGCCACTGTCCCTGTCACGGACAGCCCAGCGGGTGGCAGTGCCACTGTCCCTGTTAAAGACAGCTCACCCCAGGGCAGTGCCACCATCCCTGTTGGGGACAGCTCAGCTGGTGGCAGTGCCACTGTCCCCGTCAGGGACAGTGCCACCACTGCGGACAGGCCAGTCCCTGGCAGTGTCACCGTTCCCATCAAGGACAAGCCAGTCAGTGGCAGTGCCACCATCCCTGTCAGGGAAAGCTCAGCCAGCATCAGTGTCACCGGTGGCACTGCCACCCCTGGGGACAGGCTGGTCCCGGGCAGTGTCACCGTTCCTGTCAAGGACAGCTCAGCCAGGGCCAGTGCCACCGTTGGGGACAAACCAGTCAAGGGCAGTGCCACCATCCCTGTCAAGGACAGTCCATCCAAGGGCAGTGCCACCATTGGGGACAGGCCGGTCACTCGCAGTGCCACCGTTCCCACCAAGGACAGCTCAGCCAGGGCCAGTGCCAGTGGGGACAAGCCAGTCAAGGGCAGTGCCACCCCTGGGGACAGGCCGGTCACTCGGAGTGCCACCATCCCTAGTAAGGACAGTTCATCCCGGGGCAGTGCCACCGTCCCTGTCAAGGACAAGCCGGTCACTGGCAGTGCCACTGTCCCCTTCAAGGACAGCTCATCCAAGGGCAGTGCCACCTCTGGGGACAGCTCAGCCAGAGGCAGTGCCAGCAGTGAGGACAGGCCGGTCACTCGGAGTGCCACTGTCCCCACAGCTGGTGGCAGTGCCACCGTCCCTGTTAAGGACAGCCCAGCCAGGGACAGTGCCACCACTGGGGACAGGCCGGGCAGGGACAGTGCCACTGTCCCCATCAAGGACAGCTCATCCCAAGGCAATGCCACCACTGAGGACAGGCCGGTCACTCGCAGTGCCACCATCCCCAGCAGGGACAGCCCTGCTGGTGGCAGTGCCACCGTTCCTGTTAAGGACAGCTCATCCAGGGCCAGTGCCACCAGTGGGGACAGCTCAGCCAAGGGTGGTGCCAGCAGTGAGGACAGTCCGGTCACTCAGAGTGCCACCATCTCCACAGCTGGTGGCAGTGCCACCGTCCCTGTTAAGGACAGCTCATCCCAAGGCAGTGCCACCACTGGGGACAGGCCGGTCACTCGTAGTGCCACAGCTGGTGGCAGTGGCACTGTCCCTGTCAAGGACAGCTCATCCAAGAGCAGTGCCACCACTGGGGACAGGCCAACCAGGGCCAGTGCCACCATCACCGTTAAGGACAGCTTACCCAGGGACAGTGCCACCTCTGGGGACAGACCAGTCAGGGCCAGTGCCACCTTCCCTGTCAAGGACAGCCCAGCCAAGGGCAGTGGCACTGGGGACAGGCCGGTCACTCGGAGTGCCACCATCCCCAGAAGGGACAGCTCAGCTGGTGGCACTGCCATTGTCCCTGTCAAGGACAGCTCACCCAGGGACAGTGCCACCAGTGGGGACAGCTCAGTCAGGGGCAGTGCCAGCAGTGAGGACAGGCCGGTCACTCGGAGTGCCACCCTCCCCAGAAGGGACAGCTCCCCCAGGGACAGTGGCACCAGTCAGGACAAGCCAGTCACTCAGAGTGCCACTGTCCCCACAGCAGGTGGCAGTGCCACCGTCCCTGTCAAGGACAGCCCAGCCAAGGTCAGTGGCACTGGGGACAGGGCAGTCACTCGCAGTGCCACTGTCCCCATCAAGGACAGCTCAGCCAGGGACAGTCTCAGCACTGGGGACAGGGCCGTCACTAGGAGTGCCACCATCCCCACAGCGGGTGGCAGTGCCACCGTCCCCAGAAGGGACAGCCCACCCAGGGACAGTGGCACCAGTCAGGACAAGCCAGTCACTCAGAGTGCCACTGTCCCCACAGCAGGTGGCAGTGCCACCGTCACTGTTAAGGACAGCTCATCCCAAGGCAGTGCCACCACTGGGGACAGGCCAGTCAGGGACAGTGGCACCGTCCCTGTCAAGGACAGCCCAGCCAAGGTCAGTGGCACTGGGGACAGGCCGGTCACTCGCAGTGCCACTGTCCCCACAGCTGCTGGCAGTGCCAGTGAGGTCAAGCCGGTCACTAGGAGTGCCACTGTCCCCACAGCGGGTGGCAGTGCCACCGTCCCCAGCAGGGACAGCTCGCCCAGGGACAGTGCCACCTCTGGGGACAGGCCGAGCAGGGGCAGTGCCACCATCCTGGTTAAGAACAGCTCATCCCAAGTGCCCACCCCTGGGGACAGGCCGGTCACTCGCAGTGCCACCGTCCCCAGCAGGGACAGCTCCCCCAGGGTCAGTGGCACCAGTGAGGACAGGCCGGTCACTCGCAGTGCCACTGTCCCCACAGCTGGTGGCAGTGCCAGTGAGGACAGGCCGGTCACTCGGAGTGCCACTCTCCCTGTCAAGGACAGCTCATCCAAGGGCAGTGCCATCCCGGGGGACAGACCGGTCACTCGCAGTGCCACCATCCCTGTCAGGGACAGCCCTGCTGGTGGCACTGCCACCGTCCCCGTCAGGGACAAGCCAGTCACTGGCAATGCCACTGTCCCTATCAAGGACAGCTCAGCAAGGGACAGTGCCACCCCTGGGGACAGACCGGTCACTCGCAGTGCCACCATCCCTGTCAAGGACCTGCCAGTCACTGGCAATGCCACTGTCCCTGCCAAGGACAGCGCATCCCGGGGCAGTGCCACCCCTGGGGACAGGCCAGTTGCTGGCAGTGTCACCGTCCCTGTCAGGGCCAAACCAGCCTCTGGCAGTGCCACCATCGCTGTC